GCCGCTGCCGCCGCATCCGACAGCGACGAAGATGATGAGGAGTACGAGCAGAAGAGGCTCGCCGAGAAGCCGATCGGTCCGGTTGACCCTACGAAATGCACGGCCGCCGGCACCGGAATCGCCGGCGGAACGGCGTGTGCTCCGTCGACGTTCACTGTTGTCACGAAGGACTCCGACGGTCGTAAGATTCCCCATGGTGGGGCCCAAGTTAAGGTTAGAGTTTCACCTGGTGTTGGAGTTGGAGGATCGGATTTGGAAGGGATAGTAAAGGATATGAGTGATGGGACGTACACAGTGAGTTATATTGTTCAGAAGAGAGGAAATTATATGGTGAATGTGGAATGTAATGGGAAGCCCATCATGGGTAGTCCTTTCCCTGTTTTCTTCAGCACAGGTTAATTTTTTTTCTTCACTCAGATTTGTGAAACTCATTTTTGCTTTATACTTGATTCGTTCAGTTTTTTTAAAAAAAAATGGAAGCAAAAGATGCTAGTAATTAGTTGGGATAAAGGTTTAGTCACTATAGTAAGCTTATATTTTGTTTAGTATTTGCTAGGAGGAGTTTTTTTTAGTTTGTCTAGAGATTTGTATATTTGTAACTGTTGTAGAGATACTACACCCAATGATAGGGCTTAATGGTCAATGAAGTGCAGGAGAATCATGAGTTCCTACACAGGCTGATTTCTTTCCATCTACCTACATCTTGGTGAGTAGTGTTATTCGGTACCGGTCTTGTGGGTAGCAAGTACTCCGTGGAATAGTCGACACACAAGTTGGTCGGGACACTGCCGTCATAAAAACTATATTGTAGAGATACTCTAGTATTATAAAATCTGAATTATATAACATTGTAATTAAATAGGTTCCAATGGAGAAGAATGGTGGCGGGGATTCATAAATCCAGCCTGAACTAGAGTAGGATTAAGGTGTAGTTGCTGTTCTTGCACCCATTTCTTCGCCTATACGGCCTACAACTTTTTTTAAAAAAGGTGTAAATTTATCTAAAGATACTTTTTGACCAAAGTCTAATTAGACTTAAGATTTGGGACGGAGTGAGTTGTAACTGGCTTTTGTTCTATCGTAACTGTGGTTATGAGATAGTTGATTGGGTTGCAAGCTTGCAATAGAAGCTATGATATTTGTTTTAGTAAATGGATTGTAAATTTATAAAGGCTTGTTTGGATTATTTAACCTAAGTTAATCAGTTTCATTGATCAGAATCACTATATGCTATTGTACCACAAAAAAGGTCTTTGCAGCTGATAGCTATAACCTAAATGAAATTGGTCATTGTAGTAAATCATCAAATAGTCAAAATAGTTCTGATAATCCAAACCAAATAGGCCATAAACCAGCTGCTCAAAGACATCACACATCTATAGAATAGAAGCTGAATTATTTGTGATCTTGTATCACTGGAGTTGCTGAGATGAGGTTTCCATTTGATTGAGGATGGTCAATTCAATTGTTGCCTTATATTTAAATGGTTTGTCTTGATAATTCCTGTGTTTACTAGGATGGCTTGTTGAGTTCCCTTAGTTGTTGTATTGGTCTTAGTAAATTGGTAAGTTAATATTTATGGGGCTCCTACTTGTGATGTTTTAAAGTCCATTTCTGTCTTCCATTTCTGTCTTCCAATTTTAGCAAAGTTCTATTTGAAAAAAGACCTGTTTCTCTTTTCCAATTTTAACAAAGCTGTTTGGTGTTAAATTGAGATTTTACTTAGTAAGAACTAAACAAGTAACACCTCAATGTGATTGTGGACTATATGATTTCACCTTGGGGAAAATTTTCATCACCCATCAGTAGTCTCGAATTGTATCCAGTTTACCTCCTCCCCCTAATTATTCTGCTCTGCCCCCAACATAGAATGTTTTCTTCTGTGTGATCATATTTGTCCCTTCCCATGAGTATGTACATCTACTGTTGTATTCTTTTAAAAAGTGAGAGAAGAGTCAAACCTTACAAATAAATCAGAGCATTGGCGAGAAAATGTAGATGCACTGCTATTTGATTGCAGTGAATATTTGAGAAAATAATAAAATATTTGTTTCTCAAGTTAAAGCCTATCCTCCTGTTCAATGAAATAAAAGTAGAGTGATGTGGATACTAGCCGTTCTTGTTCATAGTGGTTGAGAGAGTCTTCTTCATGCCACTAGGTCAAGAGTTCGAGCCTGGTACTGTGTCAAACAAAAACAAAAAAACAGTAGAGTGATGTGGAAGGAAAGGGGGAGTGTTTTGGATTTGATTCTCATGCAGTACGTGTTCACTCTGCTTAAGTGAATGCAGAAAAGTCAACATCGTATTCTAGATGTTGAAAATTTTAATATTTTATTTATATCATGCAGGTAGTACTACTGGTGGAGTATTGGGTGTAGCACCATCAACCAATTTTCCAAATATGGTCAACCAGAACATGCCTAATATGCCAAACTATTCTGGTTCTGTATCTGGGGCTGTCCCAGGATTGCTCGGGATGATACCAGGTATTGTTCCTGGAGCTTCGGGAGGAGTAGTTTTACCTGGAATTGGGGCATCTCTTGGGGAAGTTTGTCGAGAATACCTTTACGGACGGTGTGCAAAAACTGACTGCAAATTCAATCATCCCCCTCACAATCTTCTAATGACTGCTCTAGCTGCGACTACCAGTATGGGAACTCTTAGTCAAGTGCCCATGGCACCTTCTGCGGCTGCAATGGCTGCTGCTCAGGCAATTGTTGCTGCTCAAGCTCTTCAAGCGCATGCACAAGCTCAGTCTGCAAAAGATTCCTCTGGTATTTCTAGCTCCCATCATGGTCAATAAATTCTTCCTATTTGTTGATGAATTATTGTGAGTGATTCTTAAATTTTCTTACTCCACTAAAACATTGATTCTTGAAATTTAACTGCTACTTTTATCTCCCATTATTGTCCAATAAGTAATTCATATTTGGTGGTTACTGGCGGTGATCCATAAACTTTTCTTACTCAAATAATATTCTTCAAAATAGTTTGCTGCAATAACTTAAAAGAGAAGACTGAGATGTACCACTACTTTGCTCCTTCCAGATAGTCTCTTACTACTTTTTCTTTGCTACTTCCCTCAACCTACTCATCACAATAGATGATGTGTAGAAAGCATATAACACATTCTCCTAGGTGTCCATAAGAGTGTACCTCATTCTTACTGTTTTTGCTATTTGTGTTCTTTACCTTCAGGAACAGGTGACCAAGATGGAAAGGCCGATTCCCTTAAAAGAACTCTGCAAGTCAGCAATCTCAGCCCACTTCTGACAGTGGATCAGTTGAAACAACTGTTTGGTTTCTATGGTACAATCGTTGATTGTAGCATTACTGAATCCAAACATTTTGCTTACATTGAATACTCAAAACCTGAAGAAGCAACTGCTGCTTTGGCGTTGAACAATATAGAAGTTGGTGGTCGCCCCTTAAATGTTGAAATGGCAAAGCAACTTCCTCCAAAGCCAGCTGTTTTAAATTCATCAATGGGTTCATCTTCTTTGCCCTTGATGATGCAGCAAGCAGTAGCAATGCAGCAGATGCAGTTTCAACAGGCCCTATTAATGCAGCAAGCTATGACTGCGCAGCAAGCAGCTAATCGAGCTGCAACCATGAAGAGTGCCACTGATTTGGCTGCCGCAAGAGCTGCAGAAATAAGCAAGAAGTTGAAAGCTGATGGTCTGCTTTCTGATGATAAGGAAACTGATGACAAGGCCAAGTATGTCACCTGAACTATTTCCGTCATATGTTTATAAATCTATCTTATGTGTTTGATAATTCATCTAACTGCTGTCAGGATTATCTGGTTAGCGATTAGTAGTAGGACTTTTTACACCTGAAGACCATCATCAGGCCTTGCGTTTGTGAAACAGCCCTAAGTGAGTGTAAGCTATGAATACCCATACTTGCAGATACCAAGAATGATGACATATAGTTGGCCATCTTCAATCTGTTGATGATAATTGACTACTTAATAGACATAGTTGTGAGTCATGCGACTCTTTAAGTGTCCCCTTGGATGGCTTTAAACTTTAGGGATAAAGAGGCAACTAGCAACCAAATTCAAGTTTAGGATCTACTTTGCTTAATTAGATTTGAATTTTTCTTTTGCATGATGGCACAATTAAGATAATACGGTTCACCAGCTCTCTTTTTGGGGCCACTGTTAGACTGGCTGTATAAGTTATATGCAAATGGGTTCTAGGAGGAGGGGAAGCTAAGTATGAGCCTGGCCTACTGAATCTCCCAAGTATCATATGTCTTACAATGGTGGGTATGGGGGAGGACCAAGCACAAGGCTTCCTTAGTGAAGCTCTCGAGCATAGTTTACATAAAATTTATAAGTTTGAATAACTGTTGCATAATCTATTTCGGTTCCGCAGGAGATGCTTTAATGTATACCTAGTAGTGGTTGTTCCTTATTGTGGAAAAACAAGGGGAAGAGTGTTAATCTGGAGCAATTTTTCTAGAAAGGTGACAATTTCTTTTTCTGGAATTGAATTGTCTCCAGATGTCCGAATGTGTATAGAGTTTGTCCTCATTACCATTATTTGCTGGTTTAACTGTATTTAACTTCTACTAATGATCTGAACTGCCACAGGTCACCATCTGCTGATNGAACTGCCACAGGTCACCATCTGTCGACCGTGCTAGGTCAAGATCCAGGTCACCATCCAAATCAAGATCTAAGTCCAGATCTCCAATAAGTTATAGGCGAAGACCAAGATCCCGCTCTTTCTCTCCTCTGCCGCGGAGATCAAGAGATTATAGATCAAGGTCACCAGTAAGATCCCGTCGTTATTCAGGCATTGAAGATGAAAGGCGGTCATATAGGGATGTTAGATATGCTAGTGACAGAGGAAGAAGGCGGGATTCTGTTAGATTCTATGATCGTCGTTCTCCTGTTTCAAGGAGAAACCGAAGTAGGAGCACAAGTCCTCGAACTAGAAAATCTTACCGTGCTGATTTAGGCTCACCAAAACGCCACCGAGAAAGTAGTCCAGTTCACAAGACAAGTAGAGCTTCTCGCCGTGAGTCATTATCTCCTGAACATGGACGAAGAAGTAGGTCATCCCCAAAAGATGGTGAAAGAAAGTCAAAATATAGCAGGCGATCGAGATCAAAGTCTGCTGAAGGTAGGGACCAATCTGATGATAAGCTTGAAGGAAGCAGGGATGAAAAAGCCAAGCAGAAGGACCAGGGAAGGTCACCATCACCACAGGTTGTTGAGGATGCACAGAAGAAAATGTCACCAGAAGTCCCAGAAGAAAGCAAGTCAAAGCATGGAAGAACCTCCAGGTCCAGGTCTCCAGAAGAGAAGCATCATTCTAGCAGAAGCAGAGAAGAGAAAAGAAAGCATCATGCTAGAAGGCGCTCCAAGTCAAGGTCCAAATCTCCTGAAGAGAAAGATCAGGAAAGGTCAGCATCACCACAGGTTGTTGAGGATGCACAGAAGAAAATGTCACCAGAAGTGCTGGAAGAAAGCAAGTCAAAGCATGGAAGAACCTCCAGGTCCAGGTCTCCAGAAGAGAAGCATCGTTCTGGCAGAAGCAGAGAAGAGAAAAGAAAGCACCATGTTAGAAGGCGCTCCAAGTCAAGGTCCAAATCTCCTGAAGAGAAATATCACTCAAGTAATAAATTAGATAGAGGTAAAGGAGATAAGCCAAAGCATCGAAGTAGAAGGCATTCAAAGTCAAGGTCCAGATCTCCTGAAGAAAAACATCGTTCAAGTGATAAATTGGAAAGGAGCAGAAAAGAGAAGTCAAAGAGTCGTAGTAAAAAGCGGTCCAGGTCAAGATCTGTCGATGATAAGCAGCACAGCAGTAAACAGTCTACAAGGCGTTCCGATGACCGACGATCAAGACACAGGGGACGCTCTAGATCAAAATCTGCTGAAAGTAGGCATGGATCAGGTGAAGATGAAACCATAAAGGATGAAGTGAGAGGTCATAAGGGTCACCAGAAAAGTTCCAGGCGGCATGACAGTAATAATGGAACAAGTGAAGCTAGCTTGATTGGAGAAGATCCTGCTAAGGGAATGTGAACCAGCTACAGATAGCTTCCAATTCGAAGAGTTTCTGAATCTATGGGTTATGGCTTGTGATTGTTGATCTTGTGAACATTTTATTTTATCATTGCAGAAAACATGGAAGGTTTTGAGGAGGCAAGGTGCCTTGGAAGAACGTGACCGCAGGACACAGATTCACTCCTTTTGATGAGCAAGATCTCTAAGTGAATTAGTTGCAGTTTGTATGACAAATACGCATATTTTTGCTTCTTTTGCAGGTCTTTCAATGGAACATATGCAGGAAGTGAAGTAGCATTAGTTGAAAGATTGAATATCAAGCTTGCTTCTGCACCATCTTGGATCAACTATGCTGAGTTTCTTGTGAACTACTTTTTGAGCCTCATGTATGGTGAACTTTTACCTCTATCAGTAGGTAGTAACTTCTTAATTGTATGCCTGTTTAAGGATCTTAATTACTCCTTATCCTTTTAGTAATCTCAGTACTGTGACGGAAGGTGTATCAGATGCCCTTTGTTGTGAGGGAATTATGCCTTCCACTTGAAAAATTTGATCGTCCTTGAGCTTTATGACTTCATATGCTGTACTCTTAACTGAAGCGAATTATTGATAAAGGGTTTGAAAAAGCGTTTCTTCTTAAGTAGCTTAGATGTCTTGTGATTTTATTTACTACTTTTGCAATGATGAGTTAGTGATGCTGGTAGTGTTGTAGGAGGATCCAATTTTATTTTCATTTAGTGGCTTTGTGGGCCTGTTAAATTCCAAAAAAACATGCAGGTTGTGGGACTGATTCTTGTCGGCGCTTTATCAAATGAATGGGCACAGTTATATCTGATTGTATTTGAAGGTATGCAATTGAAAATTTTTGTTGTTTAAATGGGAGGGCATTGCTGCTGTTGGAACAAATACATTAAGAATGCTGGCTGAAAATTGCTTGGATGAAGAAATATGTTAAAGTTTAAGGTTGTTAATCTTCACATTCATTGCCTCTTTCCTCATCTTTTCTTCGCCCTTCCTTTTTTCATTTTCTTCTTTTTTTTTCCCTTCTTTTTTTTCCTTTTTTTCCCCTTGAAAATGTTTGGTTAGGCAGGCTGCTATTAAGGCTATTGCAACCAGGTGTTGCTGAGATCAGTAGAATCGTGATGCTCCCTGAATCGAGCATGAACAGATATTCTCATATCTGTTCTTTAATTGGTGAAACTCAATTGTTGTTCCGTAACAGGTAAAATTTTGCTGAATTCACTAGCTTCTAGTTTTTACCCTTGCAAACACAATAGCTGGAAGACTTGGTGGTTATAGCTGAATGCTGTAGTTCACACACTATTAAGTAGCCACAGCAGTCTAAATGACTAACAGGTGGTTTATCTGGGCTCTCTTGCTTGTATTTTAGTTGCTTTGTGTCCCTCGCGGGTTACACTAATAAGGTAATTGAAACCTCGTGCAATTACTTTAAATATTAGGAAAATTTTGACACTTAAAAAAACAGTTGGCTTTAGAAAAACAGAAAATGTGATGCCATTTATTTGGTGGGATGGTTTCTATGAAGTCCATGTTTGCACTGTGTGTTGGAACTTGCTAATAGCATGCTATAACATATAGAAGCTATATTCATTGTATGAAAAACCTAATCTGAACAATTCCTTGATCTGTATCTTGTATGTGATTTTGGAAGTTATACTTTTTTAATAGCTACATTGACTCCTATTCTTTCATGGTGCCTACATTAGTCATTCTGAAGGTACTCTTTGTTAACTGTCTGAAGAATATCTGCCCATCATGTTTTCTGTTTTTTTTTTCCTCTCTTTTTTCGGTTTTCCTTTTTTTTTTCTAGGTGGTGCTGGATGTATGGGACTGAGAGCTGTATCCTGTTTCTCAAACTAGATGTGGTTGATGTCACACTTCTCATTTCCTTCCCTTTCCTCACTCCCCCTTTTCTCTTTCCTTTCACTTTTACTCTTCCCCATTTTTCCAACTGGCTTATCTTTTCTCTTCCTTGCTTTCCTCCTCTTTCCTTTTTTCTTTTGGCTGGTGGTTGGAGGTTCTGTAAGGATTATATAACTAGCAAAAAGTCACAAGCAGCAAGGCGAGGAAACATCAACTTTGGCTGGTGATTCCACAATGTATTACTGTTAGGATGCTTTAATTGTTTTAACAAGGATTATAGCTCAGAGTAGAGACACTTTCTGTAGGTTAAAGTTTTCAATACAGAAGTTTCACCCACATATTGCTTATAACCTTCTTTCCTGTCAATTACCTGTTCACCAGTGGGCCGTTGTGGTCTTCTTTGTCCTGGTTACAAATGGTGTTGGCTGATAACCATTTTCAGTCCCTGATAGTTAGATTAATTTTTAGGTTAAATTGATTCTGGCCCTGGAATTTGTGATGTTCCCATCCCGTTGACCATAAAGATGTTTGTGGTGTGTTAGGTTATATGGACTAATTAAATTATCTCTAGAGGTAGCTATACTTTGGCCGTGGTCCAATAGGAGAAATTAATCGATGTTGTATCTCATTGGCTCTGTTTGAAGAACATCAGAAATTTTGTCAGGTTAGGGTTCATCTTCTTCATGAATTGGGGTTAGAGTGATAACTGTTTTAGTTGAATATTTATTTGTTATACGNTATATGAATGGCATCAAGACTTTTTTCTAGAACCAACTGCATTCTGGATTTGAGCTGTATGTTATGAGGGATTTTTCTGTTTTTGTTTGTAGTTTCTTATAATAAAGGGCAGCCTGGTGCACAAAGCATCCTGCATTCACTCAGTGTCAGGGAAGGGCCACACTAAATTTCTTCCCGGGCGAGTCTTGGTCTTACTCATTGTGTGGATTTCTGTTTTGGGTGCTAAAGAATTTTTGGGATAGAGAAATCTGGAAGCTGAATGATAAAGCATGATGGCATACGAAATCACCAATTTGTTAGTTCTATTTCTTTCCTTTACTTTCGATGCTAATTGGAACAGAGCCTTAAGCCAAGAGTATTTGCACGCAGACATAGGATTCATTCGATAGAAGGGGAGCTTTTAACTTAAAACTGTCCGCTATAAAAAGGGTTGTGTTTACTGTCAAAGCCGTATAGGTAATTTTCGTTCAGCCATCATAGTTGGATTACCAGCACGACTAAAGAAATCATGGCCTGGTTCACTTAAACATCAATCTAAAAGTAACAATGTCTGTTATTAACCTTCTTTTATATAAATAGTTTTCTTGTACATGTTCGTCTAACCAAAAAAACATTTACTAATGGCAACAGAATTTATCCAAGAAAGTTGATCAGTTGTCTCCGTTTAATAAATAATATCCATAATGTTTGGACATCCTTTTCGATTAGTTTGTTAGCACACATACAACTATTATAACCGACGAGATTCGCGAAACTTTTAGCTCTAATTTGGAATAGATTTTGGCTTCATTTTTTCAAAAAAAAATTGAGAACATTGTTTTAAAACCAATTTTTGGTGAAATTTTTTCTTCTACTCATAAAACTTCTAACTTTTCTTCAAATAAAATATAGGGGTATTATCATTTTTTAACCCGTGATAGAAACTATTTACATTTGGTAGTCGAAAAAATGTATGAAATTTGTATATATATATACACACACATTATTTAAGCTATTATTTTGAGAATGACTATACAGTGTCATTTTCTCTATGCATGTCCAAATACAAGTTCAACTTTCAAAAATTATTTTTCAACACAACTTAAAAAACTCTTTTTTCAAGTTTCAATCAAATCTATGTCCAAACGCTAACTTAGTATTTCCTTCAAAATAAGATACTATTTCACAACTTTCAGCTCCCTTATATATATATATACATAAAATAAAAAAATAAAAATTAACTGTCTGCGGTCTTATCCAGACTAAGTGCTCGTTTGGGCATAAAATTTGATGGAAGATTTTTCCAAAAAAGAATTTTTTTTTTCGAAATCAGCGTTTGTTTATAAAATTTTTAATTTTCACTTGAAGATGCATTTTGGAAATTTTTAAAAATTTGAAAAATTGCAAAAATCTGTTTTTCAAAATTTTCACTCAAATCACTCACAAAACTTCAAAAACAACCCAAACTGAAAGTTATGTCCAAATACAACTCTAAATTTTAAATTCCCTTTTCAGTTGACCATTTTTTAGAATTTTACAATTCTTATGTCCAAATACAACTCTAAATTTTAAATTCCCTTTTCAGTTGACCATTTTTTAGAATTTTACAATTCTTATGTCCAAACGCCTGCTAAGTTGCACACGGATATTTCTTTGTCAACGGGCAGCTTTTATGTTTTGGCTTTTGTGTTTTGCAATTTGGATAAGTAAAGATCTTATCCATCCACGTAAAAAAGACAGCGAGAGTGTGGCCACTAAGTTTCCTATGTCATAATCATTGTCCAAAAACAAAAGATACAGTACAAGGTACAATTTACTCTCTATTGATATTTAGGTTGGTGCGAAATTTATTAAAATCATAATTTTTTTTAAGTATAATCATTTGGTATTTAAAATCACTAATTAGCGCTATTAATTATAGTCACACATACCAAATTCACTAACTAGCGCTACTAATTATAGTCACACCTCAAAGGACCTATTAAAGAAAAAAACGCTTCTTATAAGAAATTTCTCTATTATCAAAGTTCGAATCAGAAATTTTGAATAAGGGTGAATCGATCTTTGCTAAGTCATCAATATGGACCAATATTTCCAAACAACATACAAAGTTATATGTTGAATTTTAAAATACCACAGAAGGCAAAATCAAGCTGATTTTAAATAAATTTAATTGGTCATAAACCATAGTCGGGTTAAAATATGCCTAAACAAGTGAAAACTTTTAAAATAATACAAACATGAAGCACAATCATGTTCAAAATTTTGAATTTTGTTTTGCATTTTAGAGGAGTGAGATCTTATCCATCCACGTAGAAAAGATAGAGATAATGCTCCAATAAGTTTTATAACCATTAATATTATAGTAAATTAAATAATGCTAACAAAAGCCCAAACCAAAATCAAATCAATACTAATGCTAACAAAAGACATTCAATTCAGTATTACGAACGAGAATTTATTGAATATTTATTTTTGTTTTGCAATAATTTAGATAAAAATGCATAACCTATTTTTATTTTTCTTTAGCTAGCGTTTAGTCATGTAATTAATACTCCCTTCTTAGTCTATTTATTTTAGCATGACTTAGTACTTTTAGATTATGTTTATTTTTATTATGGCTTTTTAATTAGCAATATTTATATTACATAATTTTATTGTCTTTATTGTTGAATATTTTAGGATAATGCCATGACACATCTCATATTTTGTATTATTTTCTTGGAAAATACTTTATATAGTTGTATCTTACTAGGATTAAAGAAATATTTTGAGCATACATTATATGTTTTGTTCTATGAAGATTTTACAGGAAAAAAACTCCGAAAAATCCGAATAACCCGAAAATCCGAGATTGAAAAACCCGAATTTTATTGGTTTGGTTTGGTCTTTAGATTTAATAACCCGACACAATTGGTTTGGTTTGGTAATTGTAAAATCCGAACCAACCCGACCTATGTACACCCCTAGTTGCAGTCTTGTAGAGGTAAAAATATCACAGGAGTCAAAATCAAGTGATTGGTCACAGATAATTAATACTTT